CAATGTAATCTTGATCAAAATTCCAATTATACTAGATAGAAAAATAAATATTAGATAAGGAAAGAAGAGAAAGAAGAATTTATTGTTTACATAGATTTGCATATAAATGGTTTTGTGACCTTCAGTCAAAAATTTTTTTCTATTTTTGTAGAAACAGAAAAATCAATCCTAAAAAGCCATGTGGAATCTCAAGGAATCCCAAACAGCCAAAATAATCTTACAAAAGAAAAATAAAGTTGGAGGTTTCAACACTTCCAGATTTCAAAATATACTACAAAGCTACAGTAATCAAAACTCTGTAGTACTAACATAAAGTCAGGCATATAGATCCATGTAACAGAACTGTGAGCCTAAAAATAATCCCAGACATATAAATCAACTGATTTTCAACAAGGGTGCCATGACCATTCAATGGGGAAGAATAGTGCTGGAACAATTGGATAGTCATATGTAAAAGAAGAAAAATCTGACCCTTACCTTAACACCATGTACAAAAATTAACTCAAAATCGATGAAAGATACAAACATAAGACCTAAAACTATAAAAATCTTAGAAGAAGTTATAGGGGAAAAGCTCTGTGACATTAAATTTGACAGTGATTTCTTGGATATGATGACAAATGTATAGACAACAGAAGAAAAAGTAGACAGTTGAACTACATCAGAGTTAAAAGGTTTTGCGCATCAAGGGATATGATCGGCAGAATGAAAAGGCAATCCACAGAATGAGAGAAAATATATGTAAATCATAAATTGATAAGGGGTTAATATCCAGAATGTACAAAGAATTTTTACAACTTAACGCCAAAACACAAACAACCTGATTAAAAAATGGACAAAGGACTTAAGGAGATATTTCTCCAAGGAAGATATACAGATAGCCAATAAGTACATGAAAAGATATTCAAAATGACTAATAATTGGGATATGCAAATCAAAATCATGAGATATCACCTCACAACGATTAGACTATGTACTATTAAAACAAACACATCAAACGATAACAGGAAATAACAAGTGTCAGTAAGATCATAGGAATATTAGAAACCTTCTGTGGTGTTGGCAGGAATATAAAATGGTGCAGCCACTGTGGTAAACATTATGATGGTTCTTAAAAATTGTTTAATAAAATTATCATATGATCCAGCAACTCCACTTTTAAGTTTATACCCAAAAGAATTGAAATCAGGGTTTCAAAGAGATATTTGAATAAGCATATTCATGATAACATTATTTGCAATAGCCAAAAGGTACAAACAGCCCAAATATCCATCAGTGGATAAATTAATAAACTACATGTGGTCTAAACATAGAATATTATTCAACCTTGAAAAAGAAGGAAATTATGACACATGCTACAACATGGATCAACCTTGGGACATTATGCTAAGTAAAATAAGCGAGTCACAAAAGCACAAACACTGTCAATTCCACTTGTATGAGATTCCTAGAGTAGTCACATTCACAGAAAGTGAATGGTAAAAGTGGAATGGTAGTTTACAGGGTCTGGTATGAGAGATGAGTCAGGAGTTACTATTTTAATGGGTACAGAGTTTGAATTCTGGAAGATGAAAAGAGTTCTGGAAATGATTGATGGTGATGGTTGCACAACACTGTGAATGTACATAATGCCCCTGAATTGCACACTTAAAAAGGGTTGAAATGGAGGGTACCTGGGTGGCTCCGTCAGTTGAGCATCTGATATTGACTCAGTCATGATTTCACTGTTCTGAATTCGAGTCCCACATCAGGTGAGCTCCGCTTCTCTCCTTCTCTCTCTCCCTCTCTCGCTCTCTCTCTCTCTCTCTCAAAAGAAACAAACAAAAAACATTGAAATGGTAAATTTTTTGTTACATATTTTTCACCACAATTTTTTACTTAAAAAAAATCTTCAAATATCTGAAGGCTGCTATCATGACCCAATGGAATAATCTCTGGTGTAAAGACATCTATTTCTTCAATTGTTCCTCAAGTGACATGAATGAAATCCATACATACCCCATTCTGGTCACTCTGAATGTTCTCCAACCACCAATAGCCCATTTAATCCACACACAGGCCATAGACCTCAACATAACACTGACCAGTTAAGAACAGAAAAGCCTATCACCTCCTTCAATCTGTTTGCTAAACGATTAATAATACAGCCAAAGCTCCTACTAGTTCATCACACTGTTCATTCCTACAAAGCAAACTACAAAGCTAAACCCCTAAGTTCTTAACTGATGTGCCACTGCTAAAACCTTTTTAGCGCTTAGAACTCTTTCAGTAATTAAAAGGAAAAAGCAAATACACAAACTATGCAAACTGACAAACAAAAAAAGAATTTATTGGCACATTTAAATTTAATGGTGGGGACTTGAAGTGTGGCTTGATTCAGGAGTTCAAATGATGTCACCAGGTCTCAATTATTTCCTTCTTTTTGTAGAACTCTGCTTTGCTCCTTGTGTTTTCTTTATTCTTAGATAGTCTCTACACCCATAAGATGCCTCCCAGTCTCTCCCAAGTTCATGGGTGGTGGAATAAAGCAACAGTATTGCTCCCAGCAATTCTGATCAAAGCATATTGCCATTCATGGCCTCTGATTGGGTCACGTTCCTGAACCAATCTCTGTGGCCAGATAATGCTGGTGCTGAGTGACTTATTTCCAGGTCATGTGTTCTGCCCCTGACCAGGGATGTTGTCAACTCCACTGAATCAGCCCATGGTCCAAAAGTGGAGAAGAGCTGATCCCTAGAGAATGCTCAGGTTAAGGTCACCTGTATGCTGAGGGGGTTTTGAACAATAATACTATAAAGTCAGCCACCCTTCAATTAAGTCCAACTGAGTGTTTTAAAACTAGGATACATTGCCCTGTATTTATTCCTATTAAATACAATCTTATTAGAATCCTCTTGGAAAATTATTTTGGGGATTCTAATTCTATCAAGCAGTGAATTCCTTGTTTCTCTCAACTGTGTATGCTCAACAGTGTGATGAATGTGCCTTACAGATTTGATTGAACTCAATATTGAACAGATTATAATCATGTGTATATATGTATTATAAACATGTTATATAAGATGTAAACATGCTGTTAACACAGAGCTTCACAGCCCAACACCAAGATCTTCTTTCTGAGGTGACATTACCAGCATCTTTGGATGTGGTCATATAACCAGATACCAGGCCCATCATTGTCCTTAAGTGTGAGACCTATTTTGGGGCCCAAAGACATCATTATCAACCTTTAAAAAATTCCTAGACTCCTAGGAGGGCTTCCAGCAGAGTAAATTTCTGTGCAAAGTATGAATTCTTGATCTAGCCCTCATCAAAAAGAGGCCTTCTTCTCTATTTGCTCCAGATTTCTCATATTTCCTAAACACAAACACACACATGCACAAAACAAAAGTAGTAGTAGCAAAGTGTATATAGTGTCTACTACATGCTATTCTCTGTTCTAAAAGCACATAGGATTAAGTATTAATTCACTTATTCCTGACAACAACTTTATGACATAGGTGGTTGTTGTCGTCATCATCATCATCATCTCCATTTTAGAAACAAGGAAACAGGCCCAGAGTAGGTAATTTCCCAAATTCATAGAGCTAGTTAGTAAAAACCAGGACTTGAACCCAAGCTGTGTGGCTGCAGAGTTCTTATGGCAGAGGGGACATTTGACCCTGACATCTCTCATCTCCTATTTCCAGCCCCCAGGCAAATGCGCAGGTGAGCCTGCTTTAAAAACACCACCACCTACAACAAATTTACTATGGATAAATTAGGGAACCACTCACTTTACAAAGCAGCTTGTTGTCGTAAGTGAACCATTTGCAATAACAAGCTCCATCTGGGACAGGTCAACTGGTTAAAAAATCACTAATCACTTCCCAGAAGTACTGGGGCAGAGAAACCCAGCCAATAGGTTAGGATCACTGCCAACTAAAGTTATATTAGAACTGTAAAGCATTTCTGGTGCAATGTCCACATTCATAGAAAAAACACAATTTAAAAAACTTTTCTTACATATATTTTCCCTGAATAATGGCTATGTATGGGGGGAAATTGTAAAAGTAGAAGGACTCTGCATAGCACCTCACTAAAGCTCCCAGCCCTTACGGTGCTCCCCTAGGGTCACTTGACCCACAGTTCTGTTGTCACTTTTGGCAGTGCTGTTAGTTGGTTCAATTGGTTTAGTCTTGCACAAAGGTATAGTACAGGTGGCTACCAAATTCAAAGCAATTGCATACAGGTCTCTTCTTTCTGGAAACAGCATGTCATGTAACCCCAGCTGGTTCAAATGAAGAAGTTTGCAGCAGAGATGCGGCAGGGTGGCGAGAATGGTGTTTGTTACCAAAGGGAGCCCAGTAAGAGCTGGTTCTGGGGAGGAGGAACATCCTGGTGGGAGAGCAGCAGCTACTATTAGACACTACACCAGGGAAAGGCAGAAAGAAATTCCCTACCTCTTTCCCGTCTCCCTACCAGTCTCTTGCCAGTGTCTCCTATGGGCAAGCCAAAGAGGGAGGGTACCTGGGTGAAGTAGTCAGCAAGCATCAGCCCTCAGGGAACACAGCTGAGGGGAATAGAGTGGAGAGGATGTCAGAAGAACAGAAAATAATGCAATATCTCTATCAGAGGTAGGTAAACTGATTCACTGAGTTTAACAAATTTATCATGTTTCAGATCAGAGGGGAGCCTAGAACCAACATGAGGGTCCCATTTTCCTTTCTAGTCTCACTGATTTTGAGAAGCCTGAAGGCCTAGAAAGAGTCACAAAATCTCAGAGGACATCTAATCCCTCATACTCCTTCCCAATATATGGTAATGTTACAACATGACCCACAGGGGTCCACCTTTCTTCAGAAGCATTGAGGTTGCTTATAAGAGGATGACTCAGCCTCCTGCTCAGATTCATTAAAGAAGTTTTCATGAATCACTTGTATGTGCGATGTTGTGGGTGTTGTTATTCTTTCAGTGAATTTGCTGCACACACTAAGTGTATCTCTTTTTGATTCATGAAGGTGACTCATCTGAGGAAGTTGACCTGACCATGGTTTATCAGGCAGCTTCTAATGGAGATGTCAATGCTCTGACCTCAGTAATTCGTGAAGACCCTTCCATCCTAGAATGCTGTGACAGTGAAGGTGAGCTATTTATTCATTTTTGAAGCCTGCAGAATGTTCTTCTCTATTCTTTTAGAGATGGTCTTCAGAGGTGAGCACTGTTAAAATTACATCTAACAGGCCATTTGGTACTGGAGGGACAAGGAGTGGCTTGTCTTTAAATGATAGTCTTAGACACAAATCTTTCAATTTTTTTTACACCACTTCATGTAATGAATCTGGTTGATTTAGATTTATTTGCAACTTATTTGTATGAATGACTAAAGTAGATACACCAAGTAGTTAAAAAAGGAATATAGAAAGAGGGCTATTTTTGGTAGCAGTGGATGTTGGGAAAGTATGACTATTAAAGCCAGAAGCAAAGACCTGCTTCTCATAAGATGGAGTAGATGTACTTGTTTCTCTATTCCTCCTGCTAAATATAACTAAAAATCCTGGATGTTGTATATAATATAAACATAAGAACACTCCCGAAGGTGGAGAGAAAATGACAGACCGGCTGGGACCATGTGACCCAAGGAATAACACTGTGGTAAGTTTCTTGGGTTTTCTTTTTTGCCTCTTATATCCCAACTTGGAGTTGAAGAATCCAACAGCTCAGAAGGGCCAACAGTCACAGACCAAAAAAAAAAAAAAAAAAAAAAAAACAAAGCCCCAAAAAAAGCCTGCCCTCTAGCCAAAGAACCAGGAAAGGGACCACATAGCAACACAGAAAACTTGTAGACAGTAATGAGTCTACTCCAACCAAACATCACACAAAAAACAGACAAATGAGAACCTGTGGCTTTAGGCTCATTATTCCAGCAAAGACCTAGTAGAGATCTTGGATCTCCACCCCAACTAGTGAGCGTCCCTCCCCCTAGTTGCCAGTACTCCCACCGAGTAATGAAGAATCTTCTCCCTCAAATATCAATGGAAGCTAAATAGGGAACTTGGACCTGGCAATAATGAGGTCACAAGTACATACCTTCTCCCCCTTCGGAGCATTGTCAGGGAAAGCCAGCTAAAATAGAGGGTTTAAGTAAAATTAAGCAACTCAACACAATATCCCAAATGTCCAGATTTCAATAAAAAACAATTTGTTATATCAAGAAACAGGAAGATCTCAAACTGAATGAAAAAAGATAACCAATAGATACAAAACTGAGATAATAGATGTTAGAATTACCTGACAGATTTTGAAGAGGTCATGAAAAAAAAAAAACTTCAATGAACAATTACAAACATGCTTGAAACAAATGAAGAAATCGGAAGCTCAAAGAAATAGATGATATAAAGAAGAACTAAATGGAAAATTTTTAAACTGAAAAATACAATAATCACAATTAAAAACTCCGTAAATAAACTCAGCAGCAGAGTGAGGAAGCAGAGGGAAAGGATCAACAAACTTAAAAATAGAATGATAGAAATGAGCCAATCTGAACAACTGAAAGAAAATAGGCCAAACATCAAGGGACTTGTGGGACTATAACAAAAGTGTTTGGGTTTTTTTTTTTTTTTTTTTTATGTTTATTTTTTTGAGAGAGAGTGCAAGTGGGGAAGGAGCAGAGAGAGAGGGAGACAGAGGATCCAAAGTGGGCTCTGTGCTGACAGCAGAGAGCCCAGTGCAGGGCTCCAACTCATAAACCGTGAGATCATGACCTGAGCCAAAGACAGATGCTCAACCGACTGCCACCCAGGCACCCCATAATAAAAAGTTCTATCATTGTTTTTTCTGTCTTAGTACTTGTGTCATTAATGATTTTTAACCAGTGTACCTGTCCCATGAAGAGCTTGAGAATCCCTTATCATGACAGCAAAATGTTTTGTAAAGTGAGTAGTTGTCCCTAACTTATCAATAGTAGTTTTTTTGTTTATTTGTTTGCTTGTTTCTTTTTAAAGGAGATTTACTTGTACATCTGCTTCATGGCTAATAATGGGAAATGAGGAGAGACAAATGTTTGATACTACTTGTGTGATAAGTGCAAGAGCCAGACTGGGTTCAATCCTAGCTTGTCCTGCCTATGAGTGGAAGTGAAAATATATCTTAGAATTTGTGTGACACAGGCAAAGCAATGCTGAAGGAAATGTATGACACTAAATACATTCATTAGAAAAGAGGAAAAATATCAGTCAATAATGTAAGTTCTTACCCCAAGAACTTAAAAAAAGAACAAAATAAACCCAAAGGAAAGAACTAATAAAGAAAGAATAGAAATAAGGATAATTGAAAATAGACAACAGTAAAGAAAATCACTGAAGCAAGGAACTGATTCTTTGAAAAGATCAATAAAATTGACAAAATTCTAACAATAAAAAACAGACAAAAAATGAAAGAAGTCACAAATGACCACTGTCAGGAGTGAAACCAAAGATATCACTATAGACCCTGCAGACATCTAACCAATAAAAAGGAATTACAAAAAACAAACAAACAAACAAAACCTCTACACCCATATATTTAACTATTTAGATTAAATGGGTCGATTCCTCCATAAAGATAAACTGCCACAACTTATCCAATAGGAAATAGACTATTTGAATGCCTCTACAAATCTTAAGGAAAGTACATTCATTATTTTTAAATTCCCAGAAAAAGAAATGTTTGGGCCTAGATAGTTTCCCTAGAAACTCCTACAAAGTTTTAAATAATAGTTAACACCAATTGTAAATAATCTCTCCCAGAAAATATGGGAAGGAAACTCTTTTCAGTTATATTTATAAAGCTAGTATTACCCTGATATTAAAACCAGATGATATAAAAGATGATGTAAAAAATTAACCTAAAGACCAATCCTCCTCATGAATGTCGATAAAGAAAGCCTTAGTAAAATATTAGCAAATATAATTCAGTAATATATAACAAGATTTATATACCATTACCAAGTGGCATTTGTTGTAGGGATGTGTGGTTCAATATTTCAAAATCAATCAATGTAATCCACCATATTAACCAGCTAAAGAAGAAAAATCACACAATTATACCCATGAATGCAGAAAAGTATTTGACAAAATTTTACATACATTCATGATTAAAAACTCTCAGAAAAATAGGAATAGAGGGGAAATTCCTCAATTTGATAGAGTATCTATAAAACAAAAACAAAAAAACCAAAAACCTAGAGCTAACATTTTACCTAATGGTAAAAAAGTCTGAATGCTTTACACCTAAGATCAGGAACAAAGCAAAAATGTCCACTCTTACTTATATTCAGCATAGTGGTGAAAGTTCTAGCCAGTACAAAAAGGCAAGAAAAGATAATAAAGGCATATGTATTTAAAATGAAAAACTAATAATGTCTCTTTTTGCACAGCTTGATTTTACACATAGAAAATACTAAGGAGGCTACCAAGAAAAACTTCTACAACTGAGTTCAGGATACAGGTCACAGGATATAAAATCAATCCAGAAAAACAAATTATATTCCTGTATACCAGAAATGACACATGGAATCCACAATTAAAATTAAAATGCTATTTAAAATCACTCAACAAAGAATAGTTAGGTGTGAATATAACAAAATACATGTAAGAGTTGTATACTGGAAATTATAAAATGCCAATGAAAGAAATCAAAGGAGATCTAAATAAATGGAGAGATATGCCATGCTCATGGATTAAAAGACTGAAGATAGCAAATATGCAGTGCTTTTCAAATTCATGTGCAGATTTAATGCAATTTCTATCAAACCCCAGCAAGATTTTTTGTAGATATATACAAAATTACCTAAAATTTATATAAAAAGGCAAAGGAAGTAGTATAGTTAAATCAATTTTGAAAAAGAATAAAGCAAGCAGGAGAGCTTGGGAAGATGGAGGAGTATGAGGAAACTGAGCTCACCCCATCCCACATTTACAACTAGATATCATCCATATCCAAGTCAATAAACTGGAGAATGATCCAAAGACTGGCAGAACAAATTTAAAAACTAAATATAGAGAAGAAACTGCACCTGAAAGTTTAGGAAGATCAGAAAGGGGGAAGGAAGCTACCTGCAGGAGGGAGGGAGTTGTGCACTGCAGGGAGAGGGCAGAGAAACAGGCCCTTGCACCAAGGTGATCACATGAGGAAGACTGATACCCATAATGTTTTTTCTTCAAAAACTAGAAGGGCTGAATTCTGTGAGTTTTTAAAAACAGTGGGACTTGGAGCCTGGAGCTTTAAAAGTCAGCTGACTCAGCTCTGGGTGAGCTGGGAGAGTGAATGATAGCTGGGTCTCTGCCCTTAAAGAGATAGTGGACTACATGGAGAGACAACAAAAAAACTGGAATTTACATAACACCAGGACACATGGGAGACAGATGTGTTCATACTGATTTCTGAGCACAATGGGGGACTTCTCTGAAAATAAGGGACTTGCAGGCACCATTTTCCTCCCCTGCCCCCCAGCATAAACACAGAGCCACCTGGGGTAGGTGGGGCTGCACAGACATTTATAGCTTTGGCCCAGGCTCAAGGCAAATTTTGTTAAAAGTACACACATGCCCCACCCAGCCACCAGGTGAACAACTGCTATCTAGAGCCCCGCCCAGCAACAGCACAGCACCCAGCCACACGCCCCCTGCCATGTAGTGCAGAGCTTGCAGCCACCACAGCAGTTGAGGTGATCCAGCATAGGCCTAGTGGCCCAACACAAATTTTGCTAATACTGCCACCCTGCTCCCAAGTTTCCAGGGGTCATGCACCCTCAGAGCTGCTCTGCCTCGGTCCACTAACATCACAGAGAGCTAGCACAGTCCACAGCAGGCAGAGTCAGTGCAGACAACTGTACTGAAAAGAAAAGTGACTCAGATGCAATAGCAAGGCATAAGCAGCACACATAGGATACTCTCCTGAAGTGCCAGGTCTTGATGAACGGGGGGCACTACACTGCAGGGCACTCCAGGACCTCCTTTTCATAAAGTTACTACTTTCAATAACAAAAGACATAGCTGACATTCTTAAGACACAGAAACAGACACAGAGAGCTAGACAAAATGAGGAGACAGAGCAATTCATCCCAACTGAAAGAATAGAACAGGGCCAGAGCCAGAGATCTAAA